ATTCTTTTCATTTACTTCATCACCTCTTTTTACTTCTTCTAGTCGCAATTTTGCTTACCCTTAAATTGCTAAATCGCTCCTCCACCAAGAAGTCGTACGGTGAAAATCGCCGCAGTGTGATGATAAAAATAAAGAATGTTAAGCCCAGAAACGTAAGAACTTTTCCTGGTTACAGTAAAAATCACATTTACCAGCTGCCCCAACCAAGTTCTCTACGATTCTTTTACTCGTTTCCGTGATAAAATTGATGTTGGCAATATGCCAGAGAGTTAAATCTGCCATCAGCTTGCTTGTAAGCAACCCTCAGAAGTGGCAGCAATTAACAGCGTTGCCAGAAGATAGTTACTGTCGGCATTTGCTACCACTCGGTCTACTTCCCAAGTACGTCCGCATCTCACTGGCAGCGGATATGAAAAGGTTTTTGACTTTTGGAATAATTATATTAGCAATCAGAATTCCCCTTTTATTCCCTTACTTCTTACATAAACACATACCATCTAAAATTAAAATTACAGTACCTTCTTTTGAGTGAGTGTCGTAACCCAGGCTTGTGGTACTTCGATGAATGGATTATCCTTGTCCACTCTCCATAACGCTAGTTCCTCAGAAGTTGTCGGTATTTCAGGTGCATTCTGGCAATAGTTTCTGTGGAGGCTCTGCCGAAACACATTTCTTCCAAAAACTGAGGAAAGCGTTCGCGCCAGCTGAAGTGGTGGCATTCGGCTTCGCTTACGTTTTCAGGACACAACCTACAAGAAAACAGAATTTTCAAATACATGAAACCACGTCATTTTAATGATATATCGCAAAGTTCTAAACTGTCTGAGGGATTCCAAGCCATGGCACCCTAAATACACCAATATACTGGAACAGCAGAATCGAGAGATTGGACTTAGGAGAGAAGACATTTTACGATATAGTCTCCGTGTGTTTCATCCCTTAGCTGCAAACACAGACCGAACTAGCATAGAATGCGAATGTGGTTACAGGCTGAAGCTAAGAAATAAAAACCGACTGCGTTTTGATGAGAATTTTGATATATATGGAGCACAAAAACAGACGTTCCATCAGATAAATGATGTAGAGCACAGGATATTCTAGTTTTTCTAAGAATAACTACGTTTGAAATGAGAATAGTCATGCACGACAAAACCCAATGACATTTCGAGATTGCTAAAATCTTGACATGTAAGATTTAAATTGCTAAAATCTTGCCATGAAGCGTTGTCGAGGACGATTGAACCTATGGTATCTCCTTAGTTTAGGAAACAGAGCGTCATGAAAAGTTACCAAATGCATAGCTGGAATGAACAGACAATGAGCTGACAGCCCACTTGAAATAAATAATAATTAGTCAACTGCCAGTGAAAAGCCGAACAAGTGAAGTGGAAGAAGAAATTAGTTTCAAACGTAAATTCAACTTCATCTGATTTTAACAAATAGCTGTTTGTGAAAAGAACAAAAAAGTGGAAAATAACGAAAACTACAACAAACTTTTATCAAGTAACAACAAAAAACAATAACTAATAAAGCAACAAAATTATATTCTCAGAAACGTTTCTATATATCGGGAAAATATTTCAGCAAAATAAGAAGAGATTTGAAAAAAACTCTAGAAGAAAAAAAGCGTAACCGGAACTAGTTCAAAAATAACTGTAACTAAGCAAAGCTCAATCCAAACAGAATATGAAAAAAATCAAAAAATTTCAGTGCTGACTTCTTCAACAACGTCACTGGTCGTCAAAATTATTACAAACAATACACATAAACTTGTTTGCGATCTTTTTTGAGTGGAATGAGTCCCTAATTTTTTGGCTTTCAGTTTTGATACACAGAAACGGGGCACGGGATACCACTGCTAACTAGGGAGAGGAGAATTAGCAGTGACCCGGTGAAGCCATGAAACCATACATATTTAACGAAGCATACGGCGGAGAGCAGATGAAGGGGCGCAGGAAAAAGGCAGAACGACCCAGAAGCGAACCGCAACAAAATCTCCCGATTCCCGGTGATCTCTCCCTCCCGATGTGATGAGTATAAAAGCATGTGTGTTCTGTGATTTACGCTCAAAGTGAGGCATTATTCAGACAGTGTCGAAGTAAAAATCCGGCTTTGCTCACCCCTACAAATCGCTACACTCAAAAATAGTCTGGCTGACGCGCCACAGAAGCCACACACCACCAATATTGCAAGTATTCCCCTTTTCCTTGGATTACGGCTGAACTTTGGCTCATTTTCAGTCCGATTTCAGCCTAATTTTTCGGCTTACCAAAACTGTCGCACTAACGATATTCAACTGTAGTAACGGTAAGAAATGCGTACGACTTAATGGACCGAAACATTTCTTGTTATTAAATTAATTTTTATAATTTACAAATTTTGTAATTCTCATCTCCTACCTTTTTTACTCTTCGTCTTCTTTTATCCGTTGTTAATACACCCTTTTTTTTTATTCTGTTATCTATGGCTTCAACTTTTTTCTCCTTAATTTCAGCTTGGCTTTACATTGACCTTGACCTTGGCTATTCCAAACTTTGTTAAGTTGTCGCAAATTCTTCCTTGGAAGAAACTTGATTTTCACTATTTCTCATCTCGTAACCTAAAAATGTCACTAAAAAGATCAGTGGAGGGTTCAGCGCTGTTGGTTGCAATTACATATTCAAATTCATCATTTTTCATTCCTCTTCGTTTTTTCCGTTTTGGTCCTTTGATACTGTCTGCCGCATCGTCATCGTCCGACGAAGACTGCTCCTGAAACCCAACAAATCTGATATGCATTTAGAGCAAGACCAAAGGCCAGAAAATTCAAACAGTTAAGAAATACTGCATTTTAGTTATGCATAAAGACTGACATTAATACTCTGGATCATTTAAATGCTAAAGATGAAAAAAAGCGCTTAAAATAAAATTAAAATGCACTCGGGACATGCATATACATACATACATACATTACATACATACATACATACATACATACATACATACATACATACATACA